ACTAAGCATGTAATTCATTCTCTGGTTTCTTTATCAAGGCTGTCAACAGTGATAATAATTAGGACTAATTGTAGTAGTGAGGTTAATTATCAGAATGCCTATGCATTATGAAGGGGTGATGTGCTTAATGAACTTTGGTTGCTAGTGACCCAATGTTCTGTATTACTCACAGATCTAGTTTTTATTTATCTACATTTACAAGCATGAAGAGCCCATTTAAGTCATTTTATAAGTCATTTAACTTTTCATTGGTATAATCTATGCCAAAGATTTCAGCAAATGATTTTCTCTCTCGTGTAATACTTGGGTGAGAAGACATCTTCTGGAAAGATATGATACTTCAGTCTTCAAGTGACAGAATATCCATTGTGTCTATTAGAAAAGTTTTCACATGACTGATTACCATTGCTTTCTCTGAATTATAAGTATCTTTTATTATACTTTAAACCTGATACACATAACAGTCTGCAGACCTGACTCAGGAAAGTAGAGACTAAATAGCTCACTAGACTAAATAGTTCAGCTTCAGTCTGAACTAAAGACATTTCAAGGCAGGTGATATTGAGGTTCAAATCACAGAATCACAGAATTGTTTGATTGGAAGAGACCTCCAAGATCATTGAGTCCAACCTATGACCTAACACTAACCAGTCCTCCACTAAACCATATCGCTAAGTTCAACATCTAAACGTCTTTCAAAGACCTCCAGGGATGGTGACTCAACCACTTTCCTGGGCAGCCCATTCCGATGCCTAACTACCCTTTTGGTAAAGAAGTTCTTCATTATATCCAACCTAAACCTCCCCTGGCTGGGTGAGTTAATTGCTTAATTCAATTCAAAGCTATCACTGAATGATGATATAATGTAAATGAATAGACATGAGCAGAGGGGAAAAGAAGTGCTGAATTGTTTTAATGTAATGACTGAAAGTCACAGCAAGCTAAATGATTTAAGATTATTGTGCCATCACAGTCTGAAAACATTAGTCTGATCACTTTCCCCTTTCTGGAAATAGTTATAAGCAGATCAAAAGGCCTTTAACTATATCCATATTTAGTATTAAAAATTCTTTTCTTAATGGTCTATAACTGGGAACAGTATTAACTCTCTTGTACTTGTCAAAAATGTGAGACAAAGTTGTTTCTGCTCTGTGACTGAAAAGGTGTACAAGTATTTCTTTCAAAAAAATTTACTTGCCTTTAGCAACAAAAGAAAATCTATTTCATTATATTTCTTTTTTCTCAAAAGAAAATTTTAAAAATATATCTTTCAAAAAAAGCAAGCACAAAACCTATAGAGCTACAGTAAACAGACATTTAAATGCCTAGCAATTCTTCATTACTCATTCAACTTTATTTACATACTTTAGCCTTTGTAGCATGAATAGACTTCTTGAATAAGATGGTATGTGTATATAAACACACTACTGAGTGATATATTCACCTTTTAATATAAGTAATGGGCCTGATATTCAAGGAGATGTAGAATTAGTCACTTTCAGTTTTGCTGTCTTAAGCTGTATATAGAAGTGCAGTTAAGTACAAATTCTATAGATTTGTGGCTGTCAGTGTGAAAGCAGAGAACATTCAGTCTTGTGTTATACAAGCTAATGCTGAAGGAGGGTGGGGGGCGCTGGCCCAAGCTGGCTTTCCATAGGAAGTCCATCTTTTCTGTCAAGGGCTTGTTATCTCTCTGAGGTTCATTAGTTTAGGAATAACACTGTATAAAAGCAGGTAGAGTCTGTTTGGATTGGTGCATCTGTGAGTGTAGCTGAACTGACTGGGAACTGTGGTGGCTCAGGAAATTTCCCTTCAAGATCCCTTGCTTATAACAATGACTGGAAATGACTGGACCTACAAGACTTCCAGTAACCTGGCAAAAACCCTTCTATTCAATTTCGTACCTTGCTTCAGATCTAATATAGCTTGGAGGTCACTGCAGATATACAAAATTGTTCAGAACTGGGATATCATTTAAGCCCACCTTTGTAATGATTAATCAATCTGCTTTTAATACCTGAAGTTCATCTTTCAAATTTTTATTCCATTTAACTTCTTTTTGATGTATTACCTTATCAGTTCTTCCACAGGCAAAATTTCTATTATTTTAAAGAAGAGATTTTTCTAATTATATTATGTTACAGAAAAAATGCTTGTCCATCCAATGTGCTTCTGGGTGTGTTTAAAATCTAATCAATATGTATAGTGAGATATACGTTTATTTGCAAGCAAGCTGTCTCTGTATACTTAGGCTGCTATGAAACCTTACAGAAATTTAAACAGAAACTGGGCCTTGAGCCCAGGAAAACTAAACCATTGCTGCCAAAAAACAATATATGGAAACATTATACATAATACCAAGTAGTCTTGTTAGCTTCATGCTTGCAAAATCTTTTCTTAGCAATGATGTCTCTTAAGTGTCCTCAGACTGATTCTGCTTGTAAGAAAGCGTATAGGCCTTTACTGTGAGTTATCCTGTGCTCTTCCAAAGCTCAGGGTTGCAAAAACAGAGCATTACTTGCCTTTTGTCTCTGAAATATGTCTAAAGCCATGTCTTTGCCACTGAAAATGATTAAGTTTCAGTGCCCACTCTGCAGTCCCTCAGAGAAGACGAATAGAAGGCACTATGTGTAGTTCAGACCCTTCTGTCAATGGGAAAATCCAAAACGTGTGTTTTCTGTTCTTGAGGTGGAAAGGACTCAGTTCAATAGTGGGTAAGGTCAGCTGCAGGCAATGCTGAGGTTGTTCAGGGAAGATCATGCTACGAGTTTTGTTCAATAAATAATTATGCTCTTCACAGAATCACAGAATCACAGAATTTCTAGGTTGGAAGAGACTTCAAGATCATCAAGTCCAACCTCTGACCTAACACTAACGGTCCTCCACTAAACCATATCGCTAAGCTCTACATCTAAACGTCTTTTAAAGACCTCCAGGGATGGTGACTCCACCACTTCCCTGGGCAGCCCATTCCAATGTCTCACAACCCTTTCAGTAAAGAAGTTCTTCCTAAACTTTTTGCATGGTTTGTTTGATGCCTTTGATCACAGAAATGAACCCTGTGGTTGTCTCTGTTCATTTGTTGTTTTTTTTCCCTCCTGTTTACAAATGACTGACTCACCACTGTGTGATCCTGAGGGGTGCTCAATCTAACAATGGAGTGAATCAGCCAAAACAGTCATGTCCTGCTTTAAAAGAGCAGAGAATGCGTATTCAGAAACACCTTAGCTTCAAAAAGCAAAATGCTTGCATTGCTGCATGCTAGAGTCACAGGGGGAAAGAAGCCTGCCTTGTGGTAAAGAGCTGGTGGTACACTTGAGTAAGGATTTTGGTACTTGTACCCTGTGTTATTTGCAAGCTACTGAGAAGTCTTGCAGGAAGCAGATATTTTCAGGTACATTTGAATATATGGAAACTTGGCATGGTCTATCACACACCACGAAATAAGATCAAAGACAAAACCTGAGCTATGGTGCAGGAGTAGAGGATACTAAACACAGAACAACATTGTTTAATTGATGTTGGCAATTGAGGGATTTTTGTGCGTCCTGCAACAGGCAATAAGAGGGTAGGTAGGCTTTACAGAAAGAAAATGTAGTTTTATTTGTGACAATGCAGTTTTATTTTTGTTTCATCTTATCTACACATCATGCAGGATTTTGAAATCTCTACATAGTCAAAGCACAACAATGAATGCATAAACTGGAAATTTCAGTCTGGTCTCAGCCCAGCATTTCATACAGTTTTAACTTCAAGTTCTCCTTCTCCTTTCTTTTTTTTCTGATACTAACACTTGCACAAGTTTCACCTTCAATGTATTAATTTTTTTCAGTGGCACAGAATGGATAGATCAAGTATGGATCAGGTGATCATTGGTTTATTGGTATCTCAAGATAATACCACTTTGAATGGTATAACATTCAAACAGAATGTCTACACCAGATAGGACAGAGGCATAACACCAATTAAATATAACACATTGTAGACCTAATTTCCACAGTTTCTTGCACCTTGTCAATTAGTATATGAATGTGAACACAAACTGCAGTAAAATGCTTCCTAACAGAATACAATATTTTACAGAAACTTTAAGCAAACTGAAATGTTAAAAGTGATGCCTGTTTGAGGAACTGGATGAACAGGCTGGATGAACCAGTAAAAGACTGGTTTCAGAATGCTTATAGCTTCTTGAATTAACATCACATGTAGACAAGTAAATATATTCGATAGAAAACGGCCATACAGGCTGAACAAATAAAATTTCATCCATTAAAGTTAGAAGAAGAAACATTTCCATAGCTTAGAAGTTTGCAAAATAATTCCAATTCAAAGTCCATATTCACACTTGGAAATTGATGCTTTTATACACATGTTTTTATGAAAATACTAGGAAGATGACATCTGAAAATGAATCCCTGAATATTTCTGGTAAAATATAACTGTATGAAGTTCAATTGACTTAAACTAATGTTACTGTAATTCTATAGGATATAAAACAGCTAAAAACTGTTCACTTGAAGAATTAGCTCTGAATGAGCTAACTCCAGTTAAATCCACTGACCAGTGCTAAAATTATTGTTCAGTGTTATATCTTGAAATTTCAGACACTCCAATTTCTTTTTTTATCCTCTGATTCTCCTTTTACAATCAAAAGCACATATAGTTATTCAGAGGGAGAGCTGAAAGAGCACAAACCACATTGAAATATTTATGTATTTATTTTTGAGACACCTACACAAAATCAACTTAATGAAGCCACAGGACAATTATTTAGTAATTTCTAGACTTTTGCCTTTACTGGGCCTGCTGACATCTGGAGACTGACTGTCACTCATTGTAATCTGCCTTTTCTTCATTACTTAGCAGAGCTTTATTTATTTATTTATTTATGGATGTGAAGAATTCATTCACATAGTATTTAAAGAAAAAGAAGTCCTATACAATGAATTAATAAGGGTGTTCTGCTGATAATATTATTTCATTTTTTGATTAACATTCAGGAGCCTCAATCAAGCAGTGTGACATACATAAGCAACACCAGATCCTGATATGAAGAACTTATCTCACAGACTACAGCAGATACTGCAGACAAACAGGTAAAGAAAGGATTTGTGGAAGAAGTTGTGAAATGACCTTGGCTAGCACAAGTACAGCTCCAATTATGTGGAAACTGAAACAATAGCAGCAGCTGTCATTAATTAGGTATTTCTGCGTAAAGGTTGTGCAAGGCTTTCTGGACTGAGTTCAAACTGATTTGGTTAAATTTTCTGCAGGAGTCATATGCTGTTTCTGACTTGCTACTGAAAACCTACTTCCAGCAAGTCCTGTGAAGTCCTCTCTTCTCAAGATTCCCCCACCTCTAACTGACCTGCACCCTGCGGTGGGTCTGGCAGCTTCTCCTAATTCAAGCCTGTATCCAGAAAAGTTGTGGTCCTTGCCATGACCTGTTCCTTGACATGTTTCTCCTTGGGAACAGAATGAGATATGTCACCTGCACATAAGTGCTGTTTTGCAAGTCATTTGTTTCAACAGAATAATATTGTGTTATCTAATAACAATAAAGCAGTCAGTCATTCTTCTGAGTTTCCAAATCTCTTTTAGGTTTGATTAAGCAGAGAAAATGCTGTAGTATGAGCTGCTAGGTCTTTCTGTCAAGCTCACTAAGGCTATCTGATGATAATACACCCTGATAGCAAATACTTTAAACACAGCTTTTAGTCACGACTGAATTAGTTTGTGAGGTAGTATTTATTTATTTGGGATATAATGATAAGACTCAATTTCAGCAGATTTAGCTACCATGTAGCACAATACTAAGATGTACTAAGAGAGCAACCTGGGATCCTAGATTGTAACGACTTCACAAGTAAAGACTTTACTGGTTACAGGTATCTCCTGCTTAGCACTTTCTGCTTTCTGCTTCTTGTGTGGTGGTGTCTTTTCTAATTGTTAGTCATAAATTGTGACAAATCAGCTCAGATTTACCAGTAGATTTGTTTAATTATACAGGCTAAAATCACAGGCAGTCTTGTGAACACTTTTTTTTTTTTTTTTTTTAAAAATCTTACAAGTAGACATTCTGGTCTGTTCTTGTGAAATTGTCTTCTACAAGAGTTTTATAATAGCAGATGTAGAATCCCTCCTGTGAATCCTACCTTGCAAATCTGTATTTCTGGCTATTGGATTATATATCATAGTCTAAAAGATTTAGATTTCCAAACCCTTGTGGAAGTGCAGGAATTTGTCTTGCTTAGAATGAAGTGGTTTCTCTCTGTCTTTGTGTATTTAATTTGACTCATGGCATTCTGCAGCATTTTATACAGTGGTAGAAAAGTGAATGTGGAGAAGTCTGGAATTTTGGGTCCCTTCCCCCTCCCAAAAAAATAAACCAAACCAAACAAAAAATCAGATAGGGTGTCTCCTCATTTTTATTTATTTATTTATTTTTAATTTTTTATTTTTATTTTTTATCACAAAGGCAAGAGACTTGAAGAGTGAGTTCCAGTTCCAAAGAAGCCTGGCCCACTCGTTGGCCCGGTTTTTACTGTTCCACACATGCCTTCTCCATCTGCTCTGTATAAACACTTCTTCCTTTAAAAAAGCATAGTCAGACTTTATTTTTCAGCTCAGTTCAGTGACACATACTCTGTGTGAGTTGAAAAGATTCATTTCCCTTTCTCTTTTGAACAGTGTAGCTGGGGCCACCTCTCAGCCAAATCTCTCAACCACTTCTGGCAGCAACCAGAGTTGCATAGTTTCACTGCTTCTGGCCAATGCACTGCATTCATTCAGTACTTGTCTTCACCTTTCTTGATATGGCTCTGCCTCTAAAGAGGCATAATTTAACCACAATTCTGCTACTCTCCTTTGTTACATTTATCTAGATTGAATTACCTTCTCTGCAGGTGATATGTCTCCAGCTACACTATAACAAAATGGAAAGGGGCTGAAAGCAACTGAATGTACTCGTAATTTTTCAGGGTAATGAGCAAGGCCAAAGTACTATCGAAATAGTAGAGCTGGCTCCAAAAATTGCTGACACAGAAGTAGTATTTTTCTATATCAAACCCTACTGCTCACTTTATGCTATTTTATCGTACTGTTTGATGAACTACTGCTAGAAATCTGTGTACAGCAGGCTAGTTCCAGTCATTCTCATCTTGGAATGCATAAGAAATGAATAACTGAATTTTTCTAAAGATCAGAAAAACAAACAAACAAACAAACAAACAAACAAAACACACACACACAAAAAACAACAACAACAACAACTTTTGGGACACCTCACTGTCCCATTCTGTAGTGTTTTTTTTGTTTGTTTTTTTTTTTTTTTGTTTTTTAAAAAAAATCTTTTACCATCTTTGATAGCTCATTAATCTTTTGCAAATACCGGAGAAGATCTTTTATTTAGGCTAAGAATGGTTTCACTTCTGCAAAAAGTGAAACAAAGTTATTTTACAGCCCTTTGTACACTTTTAAGTCAACTAAGATGATTTTTAAAATTAAAAGATCTGTTGTGGCAAAAAAAATAATAAATACTTCTACCAATATTGTATGGGATGAGTGAAACCTTAAACATTAAGAGTTTACATCTTCACTTAGAATAAAAGTGCATCAGTTTCAATGACTAAATGGAACAGGTCAATGAATCTTCCTCTAGGCAGAATATGACCTATTTTCCAGAAGGTGAATTGGTAAATCTTCAATATTTTCTTTATTTCTCCACTGAATGCACTAACCTGTGGTAAATTTCTTTTTAAGCACTGAACAAAAAATTATTAGATCCTTAGAAGTATTTCTGTTATCTTAAACATTGAACTATCTGAAAGTTTCAGAAACACAAAGTTTTATAATAAACCTTTGCAATAATTTGTCATCTCCATTTTGCAGATAATTTCCTAAAGTAGAGAAGAAACTAAGGAATTTGTTTTGTTTCCTGAGCACGGGCATTTAGAGAAATACAAAGGTACCCAGGGCATCCACATTAGGGGAGCAAGAACATTTTTCTGTTTGGTCTTTCTCTTGAGGTCTCAGGTATTTTAAGAAGCGTGAAGTTCATATGGGCAACCAAGTCCTCCATGTCCTTTAACTTGTCCTTTAATTTATGAAGAGCAGTTTGAATTGTATTAACACTGACTTTGTTCAGTCACAGCTTCTGTTGACTGTTTGCAGAAATGGGTAATGAGGTCCTAGAGCCTTCCAGGTGAGCATTCAGTCTCTGAGATAGACCCCAGCTGCTCCTTTAACACTGACAACCTCCAGGACTCGCTTCTCAGGACTCCAAGGAGCCAAACCCAGAAACACCTGATGTCTGCAAGCTAGGTTTTATGAGGCACATCCAGGAACTGCAGGCAACTCAGCCCCTCCTAAGCCTCAGGCCTGTGTTGGGGTTAGGATGTGAGCACTGCTCTTGCCTATTTGCAGAGGCAGGTTTCCTAGGTCTTCTCACAAATTCTCTCAACAGTTACCATCATAGTCCTGAGGACACCATCAGCTCTTGTCCCTGCCCAGGGACCAGGACCTTATGTCAGCTCAGGGGCTGTCAGCCCCTCTCGCAGCAAGGCCACAGTATGTCAATGCTCCAGCTCACCACAGCCCCGTCCTACCTATTTGAGACTCTCAGCTCAAGAACATGATTATTCCATTTTCTTTCCATGTAAATGCCATCCAGAAAAATAGGAAAACTGAGGCATGCGCAATAAACATACAAAAAACTAGCGTCTCCTATATACTAAGACTATACTCAGATGCTTTCTGATGTGGTTGTGCCCTGCCGAAACAACCAGCCTCTCCAAGACAATGTTGGTAGTATAGCACTTAAACAGTGGAGGAGTGTGTGAGACATTGATTTCTAATTCTCTATAAAGGATACTGAATTTAAGCTGGCAGCATATCTTCAGTGTGTATTCTCTCAACACCAAGCTATGTATGAGAAGTGTGTGCATGGAGGGAATTGCCTTTTCTAGTGGTTCAGTGAAAGATCCCATCAGTTTTCACTTTTCTTTTTAAAGGGAAATACTTAGAAATCCATGCCAAAATGGGCCTCAAGGCTATGAAACCCACAAGAGATCTTCAAAGGTGCTTTTTTACAGTTCAGAATAAAACATCTATTTTGTAAAAAAGATGTGAGAATAAAGAAACACAGCTGTCCCTATTAGCTTCCACTTATGGCCTGCTCAGTGAACTTCCTTTCTGTAGCTTCCCTTTAAAGTTTTAGTTCCCTCCTTTTACAGGGAAGTGGATGCATGTATCTAGCATGTATCTAGCTTGATGTGATGTTTCATTGGAGGAAGGATATTACATGATATGAAATGAGATTGTGATTTTTAAGTTTCACCTGTAAATCTAACTGACAATGGTGTGCTCCTTTCTGAGACCTATACAGGCCTGTTGAACATTTCAGTGAGCCACAGAGTAACACATGCTGTAATGCAGTCCAATTGCAGTATTCATGCCCATACAGCTTAATTTAGTTTGCAGAAATCAAGCGCACTCTGAAACATCGTTACTTTGTCTAAGTGAAAAAAATTAAATGAAATAAAATAAAATAAATAAAATAAAATACAATAATAAAATAAAATAAAATAAAATAAAATAAAATAAAATAAAATAAAAATCCTTGAAAGACTCTTTCACTGAATAAATTTATGTGAATGTCAAATGATAATTGATGGAACAGCACCAGACACTGAACATGCCATCCTAGTCAAGAGAGTGGAGAAAAGTACTTCACACACTTCATTTTTGTGTCTGGTTGTTGGTAGGTGTACACATGCTGTGGAGTCTAGGACCTTTTCCCAAGGTGAAATGTTATGATTTTATTGAAATCTTTACTGAATGATTTGTCTTCCCTACACCAGCTGAACAGATTTTCACAAATGGTGGTAAAGATTGATGTGCTAGCCCTATTAGTGTAAACTATCTGATGGTGAAGTCTCTGGGGGTAAGGACAAACTCAACTTTGCATGTCAGGGCTTAAGATGGCTGCTGTGCTTGCAGAGGCCCACTCAAGGCAGAGCGTGTCCAATGATGCATCACATAGAGCACAGGCTGCCTCAGAGAGGATGGGGCAGGGACAGTCCACATATTCACTGCT